AAAATTACCTACCGTTTTTCTGTCACGTTGTCCTTTTCAACAACGGTTTGACCATGTCCGACGGTTTTGATTGCAATGATACGATTCGGTTGTACGGTGTGTTAAACTAAACTTAAAACATTTGAAAAGGGATTTACTAATCAGATTAATATGTACAAACAAAACTAAGCAGAAAAACAACTGACAAAATGAGATAATAACATAATTATAACAAAACGATATAATTATCTTTTTTAACATTTTTTCCTAGAAAGATGTCAACTTACTTCCACCTCTCTAAAACTTGTTAAAATAAATAATAAGGTTTTGGTTGTAACTTGAAACGAAAAGAGGTAGGACCAGTTTTTCTGACTAGGTCAAAATTCGAAAGTTGACAACACCTAGGATAGTAATTTGAATATAAAACAATCTAAACAAAATACTTTTAAGTATTTTGTAATTACTTTCCAAATACCCATAAAATCAAAAAGTAATGAAGCGATTCACATTGCTGATGAAAACATTTTTGATAGAACATTGCAATCTTTTCAGGCAGTTTGTGTTACATTAAGGGTAGTTGAGTTTAAGGGAGGTCATCTTATAATCTGAAGACAGAACAATCAAGAGAGGTATAATAAGGCAATCTTTAAAGTAGTTTTAGGTTATGATAGATAAGTGTCTTACGTTTATAATGTATCACTAAATGCAGTATATGATCTATCTAGCGCAGATTCTTGAACTAGTTAATTAAAAAAATCTATCATGCTTTACTTTTTTGGTGGTCTAAAGCTGAAAAAATTGAGAATGGAAATGGGGAATGTGTCAAAGAGACAACAACCCGACCATAGAGCAACAGCCGAAGGGCACCAATTGGTCTTCAATGCAGCGAGAAACTCCCGCACCCGGAGGCGTCCTTCAGCTGGCCCCTAAACAAATATGTATACTAGTTCAGTGATAATGGACGTCATACTAAACTCCAAATTATACACAAGAAACTAAAATTAAAAATGATACAAGACTAACAAAGGCCAGAGGCTCCTGACTTGGGACAGGCGCAAAAATGCGGCGGGGTTAAACATGTTTTCTGAGATCTCAACCCTCCCCCTATACCTCTAGCCAATGTAAAAAAACAAACGTACAACAGTACGCACAGTAGAACTCAGTTTAAGAGAAGTCCGAGTCCGATGTCAGAATAGGAAACAAAAGAAAATAAACAAAAAATGACAATAATACATAAATAACAACAGACTACTAGCAGTTACTGACATGCCAGCTCCAGACCTCAATTAAACTGATTGAAAGATTATATGTCTTCATCATATGAATATCAGGCACAATCCCTCCTGTTAGGGGTTTAGTATTATACCATCATAAAATATATGAGAAGAACATAACCCGTGTCATGCCAACAACTGGTTTTAGAATAAATATGTTTAATTCCGATGCAAAGACCCTATAAGTGAAACAATATTAAAGCCAAAATATGCAATCTTTAATGACCTGACAACAGTATCGTAACTATATCCCTTCTTAATAAGTCTGTTTAAAGGTTTTGTTAGCTTTTGAGGTGAATACTGACATTTTTGTGCTTTGAAAAGAATATTACCATAAAAGATTGGATGTGAAATACCCGAACGTATAAGATGTCTGCATGTTGAGTTATATTTACGAATGATGTCTTTATACCGATGATAAAATTTAGTAAATGTTTTGACTAGTTTATGATATCGAAAACCCTGGTGTAATAATTTTTCAGTAATACATAAATTTCTCTCGCTAAAATCTAATACGTTGTTACATACACGAGCGATGATGCATTCTTATTCCAAAAACTGACTACACTGTTCATTTATTAAAGCCATGTCACTATGCGATAAATGTAAACATTTGATTACATTCGACAGCTTCCGCGTTGCAACTGTTCGTGTAATGCGGGACTCTTATATAGACAGACTTACTCTAATATTTTATTATTTGTCACTAGGTAATAGATCCCACGTGACATTCTTATATTCCTGCTATTAATTAAGCCTATGGAATCACATAACTGGAGATTTATGCAGAGCGGGAGCTGGTAACCCTTGTATTCCTACTCCTCATGCGATTCTCGCGACATTTCATTATGACTGCCGTATTCGGTCATATTATCAGCAACTATTATAGTAGAATATTTTTTTAACAAAGAGGCATAACTCAATAATCACATCCTAAAAGTATATAAATATAATGAATGAAGGGTAAAAAATATATATATATCAAAACAAAGATATCTGTCGAAAATATTGACAACAAAATTAACTTCTTATTTAAACCAGTATAATGAGTTTATTCCGTAGTAAAATTTTGATAGATTGTATGTCAATATTTTCACTTTATAATTTATTACTCACATCTTTCGATCGGTGTGAGAAAAATATTTCTCATCTCTAGAGAAAACTTTGTTCTCGGCAAATGATTGATACGTTTTGTTTAGATATCGTCTAAAAATCTTTAGAGAAACATATTCTACCACTATAACGATATTTCTCCACTCTCAACAGTTAAATTTTAATTATTTAAAAAGCTCGGCTAGCCTCGCGCTTTTGATATGAAAATTCTATTGTCTTGAGTGAAGAAATATCGTAACACACTTGATGCAGTGGTGAAATCTATATATCTCGACTTATTTGTGTTGAATGTGCCCTTGGTATCTTCCGCATCTTTCTAAAAATCAAATTAAGCTTAACGTTTTGTGTTACATTATATATAAAGATGCTATACCACTAAGACAGTGCGCGAGGATTTTAAAATTGCTTAAGAAAACTGATACTTTAATTTACGAGAATCATATTGTGTTTATACTCTGATTTTATTTTAGAGATGTTAAAATGACATGTTTCTAACGAAATTGATATTTGACAATAAAAACATGTTTCCCTCTAGATGTTTTTTGGTTATTTTTTTGTTGTTGGGTTGCTGTCTCATTGACGTATACCCCACATGTCCTTGTACTCATATCAATAGTGATGTATAAAACGTTTGATATGAAAATATATATTTGTACCTATATTAAACAGTTAAGTAAGATGCAAATGCAGTATTGTTGAATAGTGGTCGGCTTATACCAAAGACCTGCAGCCTTTTGTACGAACGTGTCTTTAGTCTAATGAGTCATTAAGTCTTCATTCGCCTAATGCATCATAAAGGCTTAATGAAGACTTAATGACCCATTAGGCTAATGCCACGTTCGTACAACTGGCTGCTGAAAATTGGAAGTTACTGCTAATTTATTAATCAGGCATGTGTTGTTTAGTAGGAAGAGCTAAGATTGGTCGGATCACTGCCAGAATAATGTTTCTGGTACTAGTAAACTAACATGACTTGCTGCGGACTGTTCATAGCAATATGTTCTAATATGCATGTGATATTTGCCATTAGACATTTAACACCACTCCATCCTGGGTAGAGGAGAACAAAAAAACATCATCAGAAGACGACCGTAATATACTTGTATAAGTTTATTTAAACACCTCTATTTGAATAGTAAAATGGCTGATTGCAGGATAAATGTTAGTTTTAATGCAACCAAATATTTCCGTGAAAGGAACTAAATCTATAGATAATCTACTCTAAAGTTGACAGAATTTACGCTTGATTGCCTGTATAAAGAACTATTTATCGAGAAAAATACTTCCTGAAAGTGTTGTAAATAAAAACCAAAGCTTCTAGATTTTTTTCATTTTAAATTCAAAAATTAAACATTAAATGTTACGTTTATTGCTTAATTTCATCTTCTCTAAAGAAAACTTGACATGTTCTTGGTGACAAAATGAAAGTTTACGAAAACGAAGGTTTTTTGCGGGGGGGGGGAGGGGGGATTGTTTGGTTTGGTTTTGTATTGCTTCTTTTGGGGAGGGATATTTGTTTCTCTTCTTTTTTTAGGCAGTGCATTTGCTTTTATAATAAACGAGCTCTGGCCATTTATTTTTGAATGTTTGCTAAAAATAGTAACGGATCTAATTTTAAAGATTTATTCACAAAATAAATAAAAGATAATTGTTTAAATGAACAAATTTACCATGACAATGACTTGTCGAGTAGTCTCTTCATAATCCGTTACAATTTGATTTTAATATATTTTCATCATAATTATTAAATTGTTTGGGGTCTTTTCCAATTCGGATGATAATTCTTGTTTTATGATGATAACATTTAGTTGTATAAGTGTTGATGTAATTCACAGGTTTTCTAGATACCGAGTAATGCAGAGTATATGTGCGGAACCTTATCAATTGATTAATATATCAATTACCACTAATATCTATTTGTTTATTTGTTAATTTGTGTTGCATGTTGTGGATTGCTGTCTCATTTATATTACGTCAACCTAAGCTTTTTCCTAACCCGATTGCATTGTTAATTGAATATTTTCAAATGAACCTTGATTCTGTTTTATTTTGATTATAATTTTCAAAAAATTAAGTTTGCAGATTAATTTTGTTCAGGAAACGCTTGAATTGTTGATACATGTATTAACATTTTCCATTTCATCTGTTTCAATAATTAGATATAATCGTATCAAAGAGGAAATTAAGTACTGATCAAACGATTTTTTTTTCATTTAAAGTATTTATAACAATGAACTTGAAAGAGAAAATTGGGATGCAAATAAAAAAAAATGTAGATTATACGAATATGAAAATTCAATTTTCATTTGTGCTTTCTTCACAAATGATAATGTGAGACATTATATAAAAATGAGACATTTACCTGTTCAAATCGCTTTTAAACCTTATTGTCTTATATTAACTGAATACTCTTCTATGTAGATAATTCAAAAAATGAGTTTCTATAAATGTACTGTGATATGTCATGATGTGTCCCGATCATTACCAGTAAATACGGAAATAATCAAGCGCTGTCCTTAAATACGGATATATATAAGGATTTGTTGCGGTTTAATTTCCTTATCTTTGTTAGTTTACTTGAGCTATATTTGTTTAACAAGTGAAAATGAAATTTTTATATTATAAAAACTGCAATAAAAAAGCACGAATAAACACGGTTACACATATTTTTGCAATACACGGATGTTTTAAAAACCGACCAAAGAAATAACGAAGATTATGGCACTATTTGATGTAATGTGTGCTGTATTTTTACTCTTGGTAGAGGTGTATGCCCATCAATGTAAAATAACTGATGTGAAAGGATATAAAAAGGCCGATTGTCGAAGGTTGCAATTAAAGACAATACCGTCAGATATATCGAGAGATATAGACGTGCTAGATTTGCGCGATAATGATCTAAGCGTATTGAAAAACGATTCTTTCGAAAATTTTGACAACTTGAAAGAATTACTAGTAAGTAACAATAACATAAGTCGTATCGAAAAGCAAGTATTTCATGAACTGAAACAGCTGAAAGTTTTAGATATGTCGGAAAATAATATCGAGGGGATTTCAGACCAGTTCGATCAAAATATGTTTCAGAATTCAAGCAATCTCTACAAGCTGGACATTCGCCGGAATATGAAAGACGCAAAAAGAAATCAGAGTGTTTATACTTACCCAGGAGCTGCGTTATCATTGCTTGTTAATTTAAAATTCTTATATTTAGACCTCGTTCCGCAACCAGAATTTGGACCAGAATTTGAAAGCCTGGTAAAGTTAGAAGTGTTGGGATTTGATTATTGTTTCCTAGCAGCAATGACAAATGACACGTTCAAATACTTTAAAATGAAAGTACGGGAATTACATTTAATGCGATGCCATGATGTGCTAGGTGCTAAGGTACAATACGGTTTTCTTCAATATTTTAAACATTTAAAGGTGCTTAATTTAGCGGATACTCATATTCATTTAACACGAGCACTTCATTTATTACATTCTTTGAATAATTCAACCATGGATGTGATCAACTTGCAACGAGTAAGCGATGAGCTTTTAGAATCTAGCATGCTTCCCTACGCACTCGTTCTTACAAGTGAGATGATGAAAAATATCAGGACAATTTGTGTCAAGACATTAAATCTTGCAGATAATGGTATTGTAGATTTTCGCGATAATTCGTTATTTTCGTATGACCACCCAGAATGTTTTGAAAATATGGTACTTTCTGGAAACAGGTTCACTTTCCATACTGCACGAAAAAGACATGAGCTCCTTGTACTGGTTTTTAAATTACGAAATATTGTTCTGTTTGATTTGTCATACAACCCGATACATTATATCAACGAAAAATACTTACGCATTCCGAATGGCAACAAAACCTTCAATTACGAGGCCACCGAGTGTTTCGGTGAGGATGAAGTGAAACTAAATATTAGTATATATATATACCTTCCTCCAAAATTGAAAATATTGAGATTTTCACATTTCGTAAGAGAAAGCTGTGGCAGAGGTATAATAGTTAGAAATGGTGCGTCTTTAGAGAAACTTGATATGTCATATTTTCAGTTTCAGAGATTTCCAGATCTAATTATAGAAGGAGAGAATAATTTAAAATGGCTTAATATGTCTGGGATAGATTCGTCTTTGTATTTACATAAGAATTGTGTACCACTGTTTACAAATGTTGAAGAGGCATTTTTCAGATATGCGGAACTCGGAAAAAATGAGACAATTGCTAAGCATCTATTTACACTAATACCTTCAGTACATGTTCTAGATATATCATATAACAGTTTGTTGACACTACCAAATGATTCATTTGTTCAAAATATAAAATTAAGGGAACTGGACTTATCACATAACGTTTTGCACAAAGTCCCCGCCGCAATATTGGAAATAAAACAATTGAGAAAATTAAACTTGAAGAACAATAATCTAGTGACTATCAGTAAATCTATAACAGATTGGTTCGATTCTTTATCTCGAAAGCAAGACATTATTCTTTTGTTGGCTGGAAACGTCTTTTCCTGCTCGTGTGAAAATATACAGTTTATCAGTTGGTTATTTAACACTAACGTACACTTAGACCCCGACGATCAAAACATTTCGAACAAAAACTATTCGTGTAGATTATCAAATGGTGACATAAAAGGCACTTCTGAAATATACGATCACTACCATGATTTATATTCTGACTGTAATGCTGCAATATGGTTACGATTTGGTATATCTCTACTGGTAACATTTACCGTATTTGCTTTTATATTCGCGGTTATCTTCAACTTCCGCTGGCGCATAGCATACTACATCTATCGAACATTCCAAACTGTAATCGAATCCGAAATGAATTTGAATTTTACCTATGATGCATACGTTTCTTATTCGGATGATGCCAGAGACTGGGTTCACCAGGACTTAGTACATAAAATAGAAGGCAAATGGGGACTTAAATTATTCATCGAAGACCGTGATCTTCTTGGTGGACAGTCGTATGTAGATTCCATTGCTAAATCAATCGGATCTTGTCGACAAGTTATATTTGTATTGACACCGGGGCTACTCGAGAGACAGTGGATCATGTACGAAATAGAAAGAGCAAAGTATGAAAAAGTGTGTAAACATGTTCAGATTACTGTTTTAAACCTTGGAGTTGCTGTAAACGAGGTGCCTGCTGAGTTTAAATCTATCTGGCATAGTGTTTGTTTGATTGAATGGTCGGAAGACCAACATTCTTCTGATAACCCCTGGCACAAATTAAAACTGCGTTTGGTTTTGAATAGATAATTTGTTCTAGCAGTAATAATGTTATTTTCTCTCTTATTGCTGTGATCTGTTTTCAGATATTTTCATTAAAAGTAGGAGAATATGATTTTTATCTCCAGTTTATAAGTACACATGTTATTCCGTGTTCTTCCAATAACCATTGTTTGGATAAAGATGTTCAAAATTACAATATGTACAAAGCTTTTGATAAAAGACAATATTATTTGTATGAAAAGTCATATTGACTGGATATATTTTAAACATTGATCTGTAAGATTTAAAGCTTCAAAATAAAATAACTTGTTTATAACTCTTTCGCTGAACTAGTGTACATTACTGTTTAGGGGCCAGTTGAAGCCCGCCTCCTAGCGCGGGATTTTCTCGCTGAGTTGAAGACCTATTGGTGGCCTTTGGCTGTTTTCTGCTCTTTGGTCGGGTTGTTGTCTCTTTAACGCATTCCCCGTTTCCATTCTCAATTTTATCTTGATCATTTTTGTAATATATACCTGCATTCCATATCAACACAGTGAAGCAAACATAATATATAAATAACACATAGCTAAGAGGGTGATAGAGCAGATTGTTACCCCGAGAAAACATTGTCAACTGAGGCGAAGCCAAGGTTGACAATGTCTTTTCGAGGGGTAACAATCTGTTCTATCACCCTCTCAGATATGTGTTATTTAATTAATTATACTGAATGTTCTGTTATTACTGTCTATTAAATTTCAAATTCAAAGTAATAAACTATGTCGTCTTGTACATAACAATCATCCGTATTTATTAAAGCGCAAACTTGAGCAAACGTCTCTGTGAAGGGTAATAGAGTATTTGCCATGGGATAGAGTAAATTGTCTCCCTCGTATTAACCAATCAAAATCTGGCATTTTGACGTGAAGTATAATAAATCTAATTGTAATATTTTAGAAATCGCAAAACAGATATGACATATGTTTTTATCTTATTATATATATACAAGAACAGAGACCGCCATAAATCAAAAGCCCTAAAAAGATTTACGGACCACCAACAACAGATGAGCACTAAAAGTATGTCAAGACATTCTTGCCAACATTATGTTTTAAGCACTGAACAAAACAATGTAAATCTAAATTGCCAAAATACACAATTACAAGTATCAAAAAAACTCTGCTGCTCAGCTGCATTTTGAAAATACAAAGCTGGACCTAAAAGTGGTCACAAAAAAAGGAAACGCCATAGTATCGTTCTTCGCCAAATATCTGACGATATGAATACTTGTATTTTCGGATTTGTAAAAATATTAAAAAGACTGGAAAACAAATTTACGATCTTTCTGTGCACCAGTTTCTGTATAGTAGAAAGGTCGATTGCATGATGAATTTAAAACATCGAGGGCATGACACCTACATACAAAATCATATATGTCGAATTAAAATAAATGGATAAAGGGGTGTGTATGTTAAGTGCAGCACGAGCAACGGACAACAAAAATCTTAAAAACATCTAGAGGTTATGACTTTTGTTTCACTGATCAAAGAAAAAGCATTTGGTCGTTTTATTGACACGGATTCCAAATTCAAATTGTAATGTCGAAAGTTTTATTAACACCAATTGATTTCAAATTGTGATGGCGAACATTTTATTCTTCAACTTTTAATGTAAACGGAAATATGTGATTTTCGCCAATGGTTGATGATTTTTTAACTCAATAAAAAGAGAGTGTTTTTTCGTCTTAGTTCAATGAAAAATTGTAGAAAAATGTTTTAACAACAAAACAACAAAACAACATGTGTCACTAAAGTGTCAGCAGTGTTGACTCTATATTTCAACTTTATTTTGGTTAAAAAAAGTTTCTCTGTGGAAATATAAAATGTCACTCACTGCTCACTCGCATACCAAGAAAAGTGGAGCGCGGTGTGTTCCGATATCCATGCATGGTCGTCTTTGCTCATTTTACACAATGATGTCATTGACCCACAGTGATAACTGCCAGCATGTTCGTATACTCCTGCCGTTGCTATGAGCTGATTTTCTACCATCAACTCAGTGAAGGCATAGTTAGCATTGTGTGTGCAGGTAGTCCAAGAAAAGAAATAGGTCCCTGTCCTTGGGGCTACAAAAACTCCATCAAATGTGTTGTAATGTCCACCAGTGTTGATCACTGTCTTCTCAAAAATTACTGTCGAAAGTTTTTTCAAGTGTAAAAGATCTAGCGGTTAGTGCGTAAAACATCACTGGTTTTTCCTCCAATGTAGCTGAAAGCAAAAGCACTATATTGAAAAACAAAATTCATATGCTAATTTTGCTATGCAATGCAATTCAATCAACTGTGCACTGCATATCTTGAAGTGGATGTTCATATAGGAACAATTAAGAGACAACTTCAATTTAAATAACTAAAAAAGTGGATGGATATTTTTTACGTGAAGCTCAAATCATGATACCAAGGAATCAGAGCTTTGCATGAGGGATATATATTCCTTAATTTAAAGTAATTTCAAAACTTTTGTAAACGCAGATTCGTGAATGTGCATGTTAAGAATACTCGAGCCAAAAGAGTGAAAACAGCCAAACCGCCAAATAATTTTAGTTTAACATGTTTTAGGGATGTTCGAACAAAAATAAAAATTAAAAAAAAATATTACGGCCGATCTAACAAATTCAGTTTTAATATGATAACAATAATGTACATAGTTTTGATAATTCTAAAAAATGATAAGCGTATCATTTAAATTATGTCAGATCTAGAGTACTGATCTTACATTAAACATTTTCTCAGTCTTAAAATTTTCCTTGTAGTTTTGTACACTGTTTTTTTTTTTTTTTTTTTTTTTTTTTAGCTTTTGTTCTTTTTCTTTTGTCCATGTTTGGTTTTGTCTATCCTTCATCCATATATTTATGATTGTCCTTTTGTATATTCTGTCTTTTTTCCCCATTTGTATTTCTTGCATTTATTGCTAAAACAAAATTAGCATAACCACAAGCAAGCTTATTTACTAGTTTTGATTCACTTTCACTGAAAATGTAACGTAGCCTTTTCGAAATAAGCTTTAAATTCAAACATGTATTGGTAAACAGATGTACTATAATGAAGTTGTCTTCGCTGTACTTTCTAATAGTACACATTTATATTTAATATATTTTTAATAGAAGGTAATTCATAGACATTTAAGAATTGAATGGTTCTTTTTATATTTTATTTGGGTGTAAAAGCGTTCAGCATTTTTTTAGGAACGAGGAAGCTATGAAAAAACATTAATTTACAAAGCAAACTCATATGATTCTTAAAATCTTACCAAATTAGAAATTGAGGAAATACCGTGTTATTTATTGGACACAGGGGGCAATTAATTTTGTGGAAAACTATGACAAAATCGGCATTTAATTTCTAATATTAGATTTTAGTATTCTAATATCTGCGAAGGCATTCACAATTTTAATCAGACCATGTTTATGTTTAAGTTGCTAGTTTCAATTTCTTTTTTCTAAATTTTAGGTGAAAAAAGGTCTTTTGAAATCAATAAAACTGGAACTAAGAAAGTTCGTGTTTTTGCCACAAATCAGCGGTTTAATTAAAAATTCGTAAGGGTTCCGTGGAACCCAGTGTCTCGCCTACTTTTGCTGTTAGTTGCAGGCTCAACAAAAATGGGGGAAAAAATATTAAAAATTTTCCTCTAGATACTATCTTTTGATTGTAAGAAGCTTCTATCCAAGTTTGGTAAAAATCGAGGATGGTTTATGAATCTAATAAATGTTTAAAAAACTTTAACTGCAGATGTATGTAATGTTAACTGGAAGAAAAACTAAGTCCATTTATAAGAAATATACGGAAAAACAGGAAATAAATTTTTACAAATTTCCTTCTAGATACTAGCTTTTGATCATAAACAAGCTTCTGTCCAAGTTTGGTACAAATCCAGGATAGCTTAAGAAAGTTATTAAAATTTTAAAAACTTGAACCACAGAGTGAATGTAATGTTAACCGGCAGAAAAACTAAGTCCATTTATAAGTAAAATACGGATAAACAGGATTTTTTTTACAAAATTTACTTCTGGATACTATCTTATGATCATAAACAAGCTTCTGTCCAAGTTTGGTAGAAATCCAGGATAGTTTAAGAAAGTTATTAAAATTTGAAAAACTTTAACCACAGAGTGAATGTAATGTTTCCTGGCAGAAAAACTAAGTCCATTTATAAGTAAAATACGGATAAACAGGATTTTTTTTTACAAAATTAACTTCTGGATATTATCTTATGATCATCAACAAGCTTCTGTCCACGTTTGGTAGAAATCCAGGATAGTTTAAGAAAGTTATTAAAATTTCAAAAACTTTAACCACAGAGTGAATATTTGTGGACGCCGCCGACGCCGACGACGGAATGTAGGATCGCTATGTCTCGCTTTTGCGACAAAAGTCGCAGGCTCGACAAAAACTACAGTCTCTGAATAACAGACCAATTATGCAATGTTTACCTTTGTTCAGTGTATCCAATTTCATTAGACATGGACATTGGTGCTTATAAAATTTACCGGTAAAATGTCAATAATTTTGTTTTAATAGAATTTTGTATTAACCAACTATACTAGAGAAAACAACAGACACTTCACAAAAGGAAAACAGTCTTACCTTTATTACTGCTTGTATTTAGACGATGAATTGTCGTTGTCAATGATTTTACTACATTTTCCAGGTTTTCAATACGTTCATCCGTAGACTTTTCAGTATCGTTTTGTATTGATTTGGAATAAACAAGGGAAAAGAACAAACAAAAAATGACAAAATACGTTGATACCATCGTCTCATCTGTTGCGAATGATGTAAAAACCAAATGTTTAGCAACTTTAACGAAAAAATATAATCAAATTAAAAATGAATCAAGTAAAAATGTTACACATAGTTATATGATTAAACGTATTATAAAATCAGAAGCAACCTTAATCAACTTTGTTAGCATAAAAAAAGCGAAAAGTGCATTTTATCAAATTAGATAGCAGACAGTTTTATTAAATGAATAATGAATTTACATAAAGTACAGCAACACAAAAGTATTCTCAAAATCATTCTGCTAGTAGGAACGCATATGCTTTAAAGTCCTCATAGTACGTATATATATAGTAAACGTTAATTTACAAGTAGTTTATTCTAAAGTTTGTCTTTATGACTTTTAGGGGTTATGCGAAACGATTTGTTCAGTTAATCGAGATCCCTTTTACTTGTTACAATTTTTTTTTCTTTGAGTATAAAAATAAAATAGCTTTGAGCAAGTATGTCCATGACTTGAATCAATTGCACGGTAAGAATCACCAATGTATTTCTTACTTATTATATTTGTGACTTGACTCAAGATGCAACCTCTATCAAATGTTTTGCAGATATTTTAAAGTATCCTTTAGCCCAAAAGAATCCCTCTGCATTATTTTATATATATTTAAAAGATTATACACGTCCGAAGTTTCTTATTAATTTGTTTTCTACATTTTTAGTAATAAAAGCAACAGCTCTTTGTAAAATGAAATTGTAAGAACTGAATTCCAAAAAATTACCAAAAAATTCAGGTAGGTTCGTGACGTTTAGAAATTTTGGAATCTAAATCTTGAAAAAGTTTGGATGCATCAAAAACAGTAAGTAATAGAGCAGAACAACCATGACAATCTAAGGCTAACGTTGCCAGGAAGCTGTAAACCTTATGTATTTATGAAACTAAATAGTATATATTAAAAGAACATTTTAAGTTATTCCAGTACCGGAGCACTGGATACATTAAGAAAGATGCCTTTGGGTACAGACAGAACACCATCAACACTAATGATGACGACGTGGTAGCAATCAAATGAAATATGTATAGATTATAACATGGCATTTTTCCATATCGGCCCTAGTATCAGCCCAAGACTCCAGTTTCGGACCAAGGGCTTTAGCCCAAGGTCCCAATATGGGTCGAGGGATGATGCCATGTAATGATCTATGAGCAAATCAGCGCTTATTACATATGCAAAACCCAATGTTTTCGTAACACATATATGATAATATCTATTTGTTTAAGAAATGCACATTTATACTCCGAGGGGTTGAAGGCATAATATGAACAATATAACGTGAGAGTACCCACATTGCACCTATTTTGACAGTTTTCTCATCTACGTTTATTTATGATCCAGACAAAAATGTCCATTATGTGTTCATTGTAGATATATCATTATTTACTATGTAGTTCCACTAATTTCATTTTGAATCCATATTGTATCATAGAAAAATGGGTTAGAAACGATCCCCGTAAAAATCGACCGTTTTGTGTATATTTTTATATATCTAGCGATGTTGAAAGACGTGCATAATGTCAAATCATAAAAATTAGTCTCTAAGGAACTTGTAAGATTTCCGCTGCCTTCTTTTTTCTAAATGGGTGCAATTTGGGTATTATAACGTTACACAAGGCAAAAATTATAAAATATTAAAATATCATACACTGGTATTAAAAAAGTAATAGACTATAGTTATGCAGGTGTGGTGTCCACTCTCCTCGGTGTAAATGGCTTTTTGATGAACGGAACAGTAAGTTGCATAATAATAAAGGGGCATTAGCTGTCAAATTCATTTTCATCGATTTGACTCAAATTCTCATATTTATATATATTAAACATACTAAAACGTATATCAAAATTATATAAAGTCTAAAATAACGGATTTACGATGCATGTACTCGATAATATATATCACTGAGCATTTCGTGTGTATTTTAGTCTAGACGCCATCTAATTAACCATCGAAGTAACCTCCGAAGACTACCGACGTTCATAAAACCCGATATAAACATACAATGTAGATATAAATAGATAGCGAACACGTGCAATTGGATTTTTCTAGGTCTGTTTGATTTCATATAATAGGTTAAAATAATATGTTAATCGTCGTTTTTACCTGTATAAGAATGAGGTTTTTTTGTTGGATCGAATCATTCAACCATATGGTTTACCCTTGTTTCACTTTTAATGTTGACATTGTTTTCCTTTTAATAACTGAACACCACAGGCACTTGTCTCTGAAAAAAATACCTATATATTTTAATATTAGGGTATATAGGGAAAAAAATTCAGAGACAAGTGCCTGTGCTGAACACGTCTAGTGTATGCCTAACCCATCTCTAGCTAAGGGGTTATATTGAAAGTCGCATGAATACGGATTCAATGAGGTCGAATTATTCACTTGCAAGTGAACAATTCATCAGCGACATTTCTTAGCTTACTGTGGTAAAATTGAACCAAACTGGCTGCTAAAAGCAAATTAGTATTTCACTATTTCATTTTCATTAATGATTGAATAAAAAAAATATCTCGTAGCTAATGACCCTTTAATCGACGATAGAAGTAATTGCAATCTATTTTTTTTTCATGATTCTGTAAATCCTGGATGAATATTTTTATATCTTTTTCAAGCTGTTTACGTACAGATTTATTAGTTTCATATGTTAAGAAAAAATGGGTTTCATCTTCAACCTCGTTAATATTACAATGTTTACAAATTCTATTTACTCTTTAAATTCTTTTGTATCTACCCCCTCTCTATTTCCAAGGAATGGCCACTAACTCGTATTTTATATAATATTGCCATTTCGGTGTCAATAATTTGTTGAAACACTTATAAGTCTAGTTTTATATAAACTAAATCTACAGTAGAAACAGATACATTTTCACATACCGGTACTTGAAAAATTATGTTACCAGGCCAATATATTAATTGTCAAAATCATCAAAGCAATCCCACTCCCCGGAATCAAATGGTTGATGAATGCAGATATTTACTTTTGAAAGGCTTTACTGCGCAAAAAAATATTTTTGATGTTGTTTACAATTATCATGATTATATTTCGCACAAAACATAAATTCACATGTGGAGGGAGATTCATCTCATCTTGTCTTAATGAAGGTTATCTATGTAAAGCTTTCCCAAACATACATAAATATATATACACGTCATTTGAACTCTGGTGGATAGTTGTCTCATTGGCAATCATACAACACATCTCCTTACTTATATATATAGATCTACATGCTTGGAGGTATATTAATGTTCATCCTGCCTTAGGGACGATATTTGTATTGAATTGTTGGGAAAGTTATTTTTATGATTGTGTACACAATACTTTCCTGCATAAAATTCTTACATAATGGATGGTTTTCATTTCCATTTTGTCTTTGGAAAAATTATGTTACCAGTCCTATGTATCAATTGTCAACTTCATCCCAGCAACCTCAATCCCCGAAATCAAATGGTTGATCAATGCTGATACTACATTTTGTCGCTGACCCAAGCCATCCTATCCCCATAAATCACATAATTGTTCATCAATGTTCAAATGGGCACATTGAGCATGTTGTGTAGCTGACCAATGGTTCAAACATTTCAGGGACTTGTATTGCTTAATTTTTTTTTTCTGTTTACAGTTTCTATAATTTTTGCCAAAACACAAAAGGGGTAAAAATCGTCATTCAAGGCAATAACTCCTAAAGGAAGACAACTGACGATATCATCTTTGCGGACCTAATAGCAAATCTTGTCACTGCTGATCATTCTTCCTATCTATCTATTATATTTTTCGAGATAAAAGGCAAATATGCAATGAATAGGTAAAAACTGTTATTTAAGGGCAATAACTCCTATAAAGTGTTGACCAACGATTTCAGTATTATCCACTTATTTGAAATTCTTGCCTTGTTGATCTTTTCTGCTATTTAAAGTTTGTTTCTATTTATTATAGATTCAAAATGATAGGCACAAGTAGGTAAAGATCGAACAAGGAGTCAAGCGACGATGTCGGCAACTTGACTTATTTGTAGATCTTGTCTTGCTGATCATTATATCTTCTTATAGTTTCTATATATCTATTACAGTTTTCAAGATAATAGGCAAAAACGCAAATAATTGGTAAAAAATCGTCAGTAAAAGGCAATAACTTCAATAAGGAGTTGATTGGTGATTTCGGCTGTGTCAACATACTAGTAGATCTTGTATTGCTGAACATTTTTGTCATTTTAAAGTTTCTATCTATCTATCATAATTTTCAAATAGAAAATAGACAAAAATGAAGAAAAAAATGTAAAAATTCGCAATTCTAGGGCAGTAACTCTGAAAATAGTAGTCTGACCAAGGAGGTCATATAACCTCCTTGGTCTGACAAAGTAGATGCAAATAGACGGTAGTCCGATTTTCTCGATCTATAGTGGTTTTCAAGATAATAGTTAAAAAATGCATTTTATCCCTGTGTTCCAGGTGAGCTAAAAAGGAGATGTGGTATCATTGCCAATCAGACAACTATCCAACAGAGTTCAAATCGGAGGGGAAAGTAAGCAATTATATGTCACCGTACGGCCTTCAACAATGACAAAAACCCCATACCGTTATAATCAGTTATAAAAGACCCCCACAAGGAAAATGTGAAACAATTCAAACGAGAAAACTAAGTGCCTTATTGATAATTCAATTTACGAAAAAAAAACAAATATGACAGACATGAACCAACGAAAACAACTGACTTATAGGCTCTTGACTTAGGACAGGCACACAAAGTATGTGACGGGATGTAATTTATTTGTGAGTGATAAACCCTTCCCACCATTGGACAGTGGTGTAACACCACAACATAAGAATGAACTGTAAAATCAGTTGCAAATGGCTCAACCCAATAGACCGGTACGGAGCACAAAAAGCAACTAGCATTAAATAATAGACACAAAGCACCGCAGTTACTGAAAGCTAGTTCTAAGCTAATTGTAACTAATACATAAATCATGTTCTCCCAGACTAAAGTATCAATCTTTGAAGTACACATCCAGCGGATTTAGTGTAAAGACGTCATCAATAGTCTGAGAAACACATGACCTTGTGCAGAACCAAAATATAAGTAAACAGTATCGACTGGTTGTAGGATCATGAGTATTCATAACTCTACATATAAATATATTTATGTTTAAAGATTTCACTATGGTGCTAAATTGATACCCTTCAAGAATATATTTATCCAAGGGATCATGAGTTTTAATGAATCGTATCTAAATTTACCGGCTCTATAAACAACATCACCGTACAAATTGTGATATCATATCCCAGGTTCTGTAAAGTGATCAGCTGGAATGTAGTAAAGGAAACTTGCACTGCTATTGCAGAGGGTGTGATTAGTTGGGACAGAAATTTGACCTTGCAATAGTTCAACTATGATTACATGACATAGCTTATTATCTATTAAATAACCTTGTATTTTACTATGTGTTCAATAAAGTTGTCAATTTTGAAATCATATGACTTGTTACTAAACAGTAAATTCAATTGGATGTAAAGCTGCACATAAACCCAACCTTTTGATCTTTTCAACCATAAAGTAACATCTAAGTAACATCTGCCAAAGTAAATTAATGAATTGGTACATTCTTCATACTGTGCTTACTGCTGTTTTTTAAATATCAACTATAATTGCCAAAAATATTACAGAATATTTAGTTACATTTTTATATAGTAAATAAGCAACAGTTTTTTTGTTTTTTTTGGGGGGAAGGGGTTTAATCTTATCCAATACTAATAGATTGAAGCAACATACATAACTTTCTAGCATTGTCAGAGATTTCCTCGTTTTTATTTAATCCAATTTTGGATAAATTTATAAAATATGCAAATAGGGAAAAATTCATTCATTCTCACAACGAGGTGTATAATCTTGTACCATTACCTAGATTTACATATACTATTCAAAGTGTTACAAGGTGAACAATCTCAGCTATATGTCAATATTGTTGTAGTGCTTTGTAATTCTCTAGGTGCACAATTTCAATTCATTTTGTGTAATTGTTAGTGCAGAGCATCCTATGCTTGTAACTGCTTCTATACATATCTACCTATTTTTATGTCCCCGTCTTGTAAATGTTTAGGTTTGATCATTCTTGGTGAAGATAAATCCACAAAAGAACTTCAGACAAAATTTATAATGTGTTATATTCCTTCACTACTCTCTTGGGTGAGAAATAACATCAACTTGCATTTCTTAACAACTTTATTCATCATATTTAACAAAATGAGCATTAACAATTCACAAAAAATGTAAAATAAATCAATGTATTCAAAAAACAAAAACAATATAACAAAGAAAGATATTGCTAAATATATAAAGATCAAAATTTCAACAATTCAATCATCAAAAACTTGTATCAATAAAAATATCAAGATCAAGACCTCTAATAATTCAATTATTGAAAATACATTGCTAAATGATAAAGATCAAGATTTTTAAACTACTTCACTAAAAAGAACAGATATTGCTTGAAATAGAATAGCTATCAGTATTGCTAGTATGAAGATCAAGATTTCAATTCCATAATATCAATTAAGTATCTACTAAACATTATTATAATTAAGGAAATACAATGAAACAGGTATGTGTTAGATCCAAATTCAAATCTTTTATACAGTACTCAAAACAAACAAAAGGAATAATTAATGTGTACCAATAAAAAAAATTATTAAAGGTTATTATACAAAAAAAAAAATCAATAGCTTTAGAATACAAGTTCTCAAACTTTATGTTGAAGAAATTAATTTCATCACCATCATATGACTAGTTCATTTTTGCATTTAATGAAAAAAACACCTATGAAATACAGAAGAGTTTTCTGCTAAGGAAGTAAGGATTTCAGAAATTTTAAACTATCTAACTAATAATATATATTAACAAGCAAATCATAATGGAATCATTAAACAAAACAAATTCTGGAATGTGGAATTTAAAAGTATAAATAATAACAATATAGTTTTAAATTCAAATGTATCAAAACAGTTCTGGAATGTTTGTTCATAAGGTGTATAATATAAAATATAAATGTAATTTAAGTTCAGTGGTCCCCTCTCATTCAGTAGGAATATCTCAACACATTGCACTGGATAATACCAAAATAAAGAATATTGAAAATAAAGTATCTATCCTCTAAAAAGCACTTTCATCAAAATAAAATGCAGACTGAGGCAGTTACCCATATGACACTAATATGAAAATAAGAAGATGTGGTATGATTGTCAATGAGACAACTCTCCACCAGAGACCAAATGATGTAGAAGGTTAGCAACTAAGACCACTGAGCAGAATCATTATCACGACTTTTCATTCTTAAAAGGTAAACAAAATCCACAAAATGTATTTCAGAATTGCTTTCCTAAGATTATCAAAGAGTGTAAACCTGAATCATTATTTTTTCATTATTTCTTTTTTTTAAAGGGACTAAAAAAATAACATCAAATTTTATAAAACCATGCACCGATTTAAATGCAATTTTATACTCTGACTAGCTTTGGAAGCAGAGACACCGACTAATTAATGAGGTTACATAAATACAGCACAATTATTGATGATAAATATACAGTAAGTTATTCAATTCATTCTACAACAAAACAAACCAGTAATTAACACAACTACAGATAACATATAAATATCATTGTTCACTTGATATTCTTCATCCAAAATGAGTAAACATTCCTCCATAATGAAGATCACTTTGCATAAAAGTACCAGTTATTATTTAAAAAAAAATGACTAACCAAACCAAAATTGTCCTTAGAGAATTCCCCCCCCCCCCCAAAAAAAAAAAAAAGCAAAGTCCCTGTATAAATATAATGATGCAGTCAGACGATCATTCACCAAAGATAACAAGCAATGAATGTAAATGTTTATAATAACCATTGTTATAATATCATATCAGTGTTTTGTGTTGTTTTTTCTTGTTTTGATTCAACTTATATGTTGTGTATCAATCATATTATTTATACATCACTAATTGTAGTTTTCTGTTGCGTATGAATCATATCTATACATCATTAACCATACAGTTTTCTCATCATTTTATATATATTTTTATCATTGCTGCTACCTATACATTAAAGAAAGATCTTGTAACGATGTTTTCATTTGTCATAAAATCAGAAAAATTGAGCATTCTTCCACATGCATGAGATATAGTTCTTATTTGACTAGAAACAAACTACATTAGAATTACCTCCCCTTATCTTATGGATAACATCCCTTTATCAAATAAAAATAATATATACAATAATAAAAAAATTATCACACATGCTAAGCATATATTTAAATATTATATATAATAAAGCACATTTTTTTTACAACTGCTCACTTTAAGCAAGCTTTACATGGATATAGATCAACTAGCAATTATAAATGGAGATGGATATATTTATGATGCATTTACACATGGCAATAGATGGTCCCCGAATGACTTGCTGATATGCTAAAAATGATTAAACCCACTTAATAACCACAAGAGAATAATTTAAAAAAAAATCACTGATGCCCTGCAATTTTTAAATTATGGGTAATTTATTTATAAGGGCATACATGATCGTCATACATACTTTTACTGTTTTAAACAATAAATTGCAATATTAACCTTATACGATACAATAGCAAAGACTGATGAACATAAAGTTCCTAATATGAACCAATTTTGAGAGAGTTTTTACAAATGTTAAGGATTTTCTTCTGGATTTCTCCATTTTCACTTTATTATGTAATGATTTCCTGCTTTTTATAAGAGACTAGCTTCCTTGTGTAAATCTTATTATATGATTACTTTACAAATATCATTCATTTATATTGAAACTTGTCACTTTTTTTTATGTAAATTTTTACTCTTGAACATATTATCCAAATTAGAGATGTAGCAGTCTTGACCAGGAGTGAAAAACTGCAATAACCAGAAAACTAACATACAATATTTAGGTACCAGTTAAAGAGTATCTTATTGTTCAAGGCTTTGTTGCTTTACAATTTTACCCTTGTTTTTGGTAAAGGGTCATAATTTAGCCTTGACTAATATGGCATCTGATGAAATTCTTTTGGAATCTTCAAGATATTATTTCATTTTATATTTCCTTTTTTTTTTTTTATTTTAAACAGTGAATTTCGGGGAAATAGCAAAATATAGTAGTAAATTTCTATAAAGCTATCTGTTTTTTTTTGGTTGTTTTTTTCAAATCCTAAATTTAACTTATAAGGCTAAGAAACAGCTTGTGTTATCTGCTGCAAATCTTCAAATCATTTGGTGACTAAACCATCAGATAACAAAGCTTGATTACAATGGTTCTGTTCAATTATGTGGTGACATCATTCTATTTGACCTTTACACTCAGAGACAAACTGCTGATCTCTCCTTTAGTTTTATGATTTTGACATCAGATTACGTAGCTTGACAAGATTTTGTTGTGTTGTGACATCATCAGGTTTGAGTTCTAAGGCTCGTAGATAACTGGCTTCGGCCTCTTTGTGTTTACTGTTAATATGATACATGGCACCAAGATTCATATGAGCTGTAGCACTCTGTAAAACATACAAACATACACTTTATAATAGACTCTCAAGATCAACAGATTTCAATTATTCATGAACTTTTACTAGTCATTGTTTAAGCAATTAACTGCTATAAAATAAGCCTGAACAAAAGTAAAAATTGTTATAGTCAAAGTCAAAGTCCCATTTTTTCACCAGTAAAACATTTCAAAATCTGAAATGCATTGGTTGAAAGGTTCTCAAATTATTGCAAAGAAACAACAGAAAGTACCTTTTTCCAATCTATGAAGGACAATAACTCCTGAACATCAAAAGAGAAAATATTCAATATTTATCTTGACCTGAACTTTGTCATCAGTAGCAACATTTTAAAATTTGAAAGGCAATTGTTCAAGAGTTCTCTCAAGTTTGAGCATGGTAACAACATAAAGAGCCATTTTCCAATCAATAAATAGGATGAATATATATGATCACTTAAAGCTTCCAGAGTAATCTCCCTTTATACTTACATTAGGTTTTATAGTTGTTGCTCTCTTATACAGTTGTTCTGATCTCTCATTATTTCCAACTTGTCTGAAATAATAAATTACAAAAATGTTTGTTGTAAGTTCAAATAAAGTCAGATATGCTTTTAAATGTGAAGAAGGAATGGTATATTAATTCATGACACACACCTTCTTTTATTTACTGTAAATTCAGAATTTATTGTGAGGTTTTTATTAATGTGAAAAATGCGACTTATCAAGTATCTCAATAATAAGAACTCACATTCAGATATCTGATACACATATCTGTATGAAGCTTTTCATAAATTCGTAATAATCAAACTCACATTTTATAATCATTCTTAAAAAATGGCAATAATAAATGCAAGTAATAATTTATTTATTTACAAATTACAAATACATGCACTTGACAAAACACAAAACAAAGGAACAGCACTCTTATTGCTGTTCTGCATCTTAACGTCACAATGAGACCTTCAACACGAGGCAAAATCACATGTCAATGTCAACTGCTTGTCAATTGTTTATTCAATCATTAAAGAAATCTGTAGAAAATTGTAGATTAGATTCCAGACTGACATCATTTAACAACCATTTCAATCAGTGATGTCTGCTGAATGATATTTTTTAAGTAGTCTGACCAATTAATGGTGGAATATGACATAACTTTCTAAACAGCTTAGAGCTTAGATAATATGTTTTACCTCAATGTATTAGCAGCATTAAAGACTAATTCAAAGTCCTGAGGAGACTTAATGATCGCTTGTTCATAGAGCTGAGCTGCTTCATTTAGTCTTCCTGTCTCACTCAGAAAATGTGCTGTAAATATCACAGAGACATAATTATTTTTTATATGAAAACATTTATTTGTTTTTATTCATGTCCATTTATATTATATTGCTTAAACAATTGCAACTCAGTGAAAGTTTTATGGTCTATAAAATATGACAATCAAAAATGAAATTCATAGTTTTCAAACAGTATTTTCCTCATTTCTAATGTGATTTTCATTTTTATACAACCACCTCATGTTTATATCAAACAAGAATGTAAATTTTGTCATGCTAAGCCTACCCCAACTTGCAATTCAACATATTGGAAAAAAGAATGTAGGTTTCTGATCACAGGTTAACTCCTCACTGCCAAGCAGGTATGCAAATAGGAGGTCATTCTGTCCAGTAGTTTCTGATAAAAGTGTGACAAAAAGATTTGTTGGATAAAAGGATAAGCTGAAAAGGTGAATGCCATGTAGCTCCAACTCCAAAATTAGGTGGGGTATAATTAAATACACATATTTACCATAATGATGGTCGACTGAGGGGTCATCTGGACTAACTTCTTTAGCTTTCTTAAACCATTCTTCTGCCTCTGTATTTTTGTTCTGCAATGAAAAAAAATGTATTCTTATTTTTAACCATAACTGAGAATTAAATTCTCTCCACAACACTTCTTCATTTTAGACTGTTATATTTTTGTTGACAATAGATTTATTCCCCTTCTAAAATATTTTTAGCTTCTCGGACACTATAAAATTTCTTTCAAATGTGGCAATTTTTCATAAAAATATAAATGATCCATCAAAATGGACAAGAAGCGGTATGCTGTTTAAATTCAGGACACAAAATCTCTACGCAAATTTGGCAAACCCCTAAAAAAAGGAACGAGACTTTAATGGCTGGTCTTGTCAAATAACAATGAGACCTTCAACACAGAGCAATAGCTTACACATCACTGCAAGTTCAAGACATCCCCAGTTCTAGCACCAGTGTAAACATAATGCCTAGATAGGTGTGGATAATGTGTATTGAAGACTGACACAGATGCGTTAAGTTTTTAGTGAACAGGAAATTACGCATTGTTTCTAACTTGCACTGAAAGCTTACTATAAAGTAAATGATGATGATAAATAAATCACTTAGAAACACAAATGAAAATTCAATATATGTAAAAATTAAGGTGTGTCATTTTCTTTATAATCAACTTATAAATCCAAAGAAACTAAATTCCCAATCATACTTTTGTTCTTAGATATTTTGTTTTATGTGCCAGATTTTATTTTACACACAAAAGTCATGTGATAACGTCAGAAATCTTTGCCCGGTTTGGATTAATACAACACCGTCTGCATGAAAACATCAACATATGGAAGATGTCATGAAAGGTAGGTTTTCATCAGGATGCGGAGGTCAAACTGGAACAGGGTGGTCGACTTTTCCAGGAGAAAAACTATTTAAATCATTACATTTGCTGAATTTGCCTGTGTAAAAATCTAGGCATGTGCATGGAAAAATATCACATGATATGACTTATCCAATCTCCACATTGAAACAACAATCCAGGAACTCGCCTAATAATAAAAATTATAGATTTGCCAATATTGTACATTCCTTTTTTGTGCTCTTTGTTTTATATGAATTTTGCTTTCAATTAAGATGAATGTAACCATCAGAACATTGGGCCTATAAATCAAAGTATATTTACTTGCTATGATAGAGTTTAGCCATAGTAAGATGAGATATCAAAGGATATTTACCTGCTAATGATAGAGTTTAGCCTTAGTAAGATGAGATACCAAAAGTATATTTACCTGCTTATGACAGAGTTTAGCCATAGTAAGATGAGATATCAAAGGTATATTTACCTGCTTATGATAGAGTTTAGCCATAGTCAAATGAGATATCAAAAGGATATTTATCTGCTTATGACAGAGTTTAGCCATAGTCAAATGAGATATCAAAAGTATAGTTACCTGCTTATGATAGAGTTTAGCCATAGTCAGATGAGATATCAAACGTATAGTCACCTGCTTATGATAGAGTTTAGCCATAGTAAGATGAGATATCAAAGGATATTTACCTGCTTATGACAGAGTTTACCCATCGTCAGAGGAGATATCAAAAGGATATTTACCTGCTTATGATAGAGTTTAGCCATAGTAAGATGAGATATCAAAAGGATATTTACCTGTTTATGATAGAGTTCAGCCATAGTCAGATGAGATATCAAAAGGATATTTACCTGTTTATGACAGAGTTTAGCCATAGTAAGATGAGATATCAAAGGATATTTACCTGCTTATGACAGAATTTAGCCATAGTCAGAGGAGATATCAAAAGGATATTTACCTGCTTATGATAGAGTTTAGCCATAGTAAGATGAGATATCAAAAGGATATTTACCTGCTTATGATAGAGTTTAGCCATAGTAAGATGAGATATCAAAGGATATTTACCTGCTTATGATAGAGTTTAGCCATAGTAAGATGAGATATCAAAAGGATATTTACCTGCTTATGATAGAGTTTAGCCATAGTCAGATGAGATATCAAAAGGATATTTACCTGTTTATGATAGAGTTTAGCCATAGTCAGATGAGATATAAAAAGGATATTTACCTGCTTATGATAGAGTTTAGCCATAGTCAGATGAGATATCAAAAGGACATTTACCTGTTTATGACAGAGTTTAGCCATAGTCAGAGGAGATATCAAAAGGATATTTACCTGCTTATGATAGAGTTTAGCCATAGTCAGATGAGATATCAAAAGGATATTTACCTGTTTATGACAGAGTTTAGCCATAGTCAGAGGAGATATCAAAAGGATATTTACCTGCTTATGATAGAGTTTAGCCATAGTGAGATGAGATATCAAAAGGACATTTACCTGCTTATGATAGAGTTTAGCCATAGTGAGATGAGATATCAAAAGGATAGTTACCTGCTTATGATAGAGTTTAGCCATAGTGAGATGAGATAACAAAAGGATATTTACCTGTTTATGATAGAGTTTAGCCCTAGTAAGATGAGATATCAAAGTATATTTACCTGTTTATGATAAGAGTTTAGCCATAGTAAGATGAGATATCAAAAGGATATTTACCTATTTATGATAGAGTTTAGCCATAGTAAGATGAGATATAAAGGATATTTACCTGTTTATGATAGAGTTTAGCCATAGTAAGATGAGATATAAAGGATATTTACCTGTTTATGATAGAGTTTAGCCATAGTCAGATGAGATAACAAAAGGATATTTACCTGTTTATGATAGAGTTTAGCCATGGTAAGATGAGATATCAAAGGATAGTTACCTGTTTATGATAGAGTTTAGCCATAGTAAGATGAGATATAAAGGATATTTACCTGTTTATGATAGAGTTTAGCCATAGTTAGATGAGATATAAAGGATAGTTACCTGTTTATGATAGAGTTTAGCCATGGTAAGATGAGATATCAAAGGATAGTTACCTGTTTATGATAGAGTTTAGCCATAGTCAGATGAGATATCAAAAGTATAGTTACCTGTTTATGATAGAGTTTAGCCATAGTAAGATTTACCTGTTTATGATAGAGTTTAGCCATAGTCAGATGAGATATCAAAAGGATATTTACCTGTTTATGATAGAGTTTAGCCATAGTAAGATGAGACATCAAAGGATATTTACCTGTTTATGATAGAGTTTAGCCATAGTAAGATGAGATATAAAGGATATTTACCTGTTTATGATAGAGTTTAGCCATAGTAAGATGAGATATCAAAAGGATATTTACCTGTTTATGATAGAGTTTAGCCATAGTAAGATGAGACATCAAAGGATATTTACCTGTTTATGATAGAGTTTAGCCATAGTAAGATGAGATATAAAGGATATTTACCTGTTTATGATAGAGTTTAGCCATAGTCAGATGAGATATCAAAAGGATATTTACCTGTTTATGATAGAGTTTAGCCATAGTAAGATGAGACATCAAAGGATATTTACCTGTTTATGATAGAGTTTAGCCATAGTAAGATGAGATATAAAGGATATTTACCTGTTTATGATAGAGTTTAGCCATGGTAAGATGAGCAGGTATGTGGTCTGGTTTGGATTTCAAAGCTTCTCTGTACCAATGTTCTGCTTCTGATAATTTTCCTAATTTTGTGTAAACTTCACCTAAAAAATTTGATAACATAATATAAACTAAATATTGTATTTTTAGACACAAAAGCAGATAGTTTTCAGTTTTGTGTTATGTATGTATATTTATATAAATATAATCTATAAAAAGGACCAACCAGCAAATTTAATATGTACAGGATCGTCTAGAATAGGCGATACTGCTCAGATAAGGAAAATAATTATATAAATCTTATGATTATGTTAGTGATACAGAATGTCTGTCAATCTTGTAATGTATTTTAATGTGTGAAATTATTAAATTAGTGTTACATATACAAAAATTCTGTGGCTATATATAGCACAACAATGATTATTATAAATATCACCTCCATTGTCTCAATATTTGTATATATTTGAAGGAAGTGTCCTTTTATCTAATATTAAGGTACCTACCCATCATATTATATATACTTTGTGGTGCATAATGACTAGGTCTCCTCTTTAGAGCTTCTTTGTAAGTATCAATAGCCTCTTGATGTCTATTCATTTCAGCATACATACGCCCCAGATTGTAAAGAGCTGAGATCTTGGTGTTGGCATGGAGACGAGGATCTTTTAACCCTGATGTATCCAAATCAGCACAATGTTTATACACCTGAAAAAAGCAAAAATTTCTGAAAATACTAAATCTATATACAGATTTGTTTTTAAAAAGATTGCAAAGAAATCAAAACAAACCAAACATGTTTAACCCTGCTACATTCTTTAAGTGTCAGTCCTTAGCGACGAACCTGTGGTCCAGTGGTTGTCATTGGTTGGCCTCTGTTGTAATTGTTATTTGTTTATGGGGCCTTTAATAGCTTACTATATGGCATGATTCTGTTCATTATTGAAGGTCATACATGACCTGTAGTTGCTTTAATCCTTGTCCATTGATTTTTTGGTATTTGTTTCATTGGCATTCATAATAAATCTTGTTTTTTTTTTATACAAACTGTACATTTTAATATCTTAGGAAAATGAAGATTTCACAAATTGAAGATACAGACCTGCCAACTTTTGAAAACCTCCATGGGGGATTTTCCCCGGGGAAAAAAATTCAAATGTATCGCTTCATCTTGTGACTGTTTTTTTTTTTATAATGTCCAGTAGAAAGTATTTCATGTATATTTAGGATCAATTTTGGTTTGTTTCTTGAACTCTTGAGATTGTTTTGATGCTGTGTGTATCATTCTGTGTAAAGATGTTTCTTTCATTTGGTTCATTTGTTTTATTTGTTTTATTTCAGTGTTATATTTGTTTTATTTCAGTGTTTTATTTGTATTTTCAATGTATCTATTTAAAATAAATTGATAAACAATGACTTGGTTGCTTCATTAATTTATACATTGCAAACTATGTCATGAAAAGATAAACAAGGTAAATGTCATATTAATAATATTTATTCAGTAGCATTTAAAGGAGATAAAAACAATACAAAACAATACAAAACAATAATACACAAGGAGCAAAAAAACATAAAAGCTACTAATGTTCATTTTGCACTAAGTAGCTGTCTGGAAACATCACTTTGCAAAGTTTGGTGAAATGGTCTGCATAAGAGAAGGGTATGTTGTGTTCTGCTATAGAGTAGGCGAAGACGACTTCTGCTTTTGTCACACCATCATCATCTGGGCGGGTGAAGAAGTTGGAGGCAGACTTGGTACTGTTCTGTGCTTGTAGGTTCTTAATGTGCATTGCTGTGTTGGTGTGTTTATTAACATCATTAAGGCCACCGTGGTCTATTCTGAAGTCTTTATTACATAATTTGCAGTAAGCATGGGAGTCTCCATTGTTGGACTTGGTCAACCATCCTGAAAACTTCAGGTCATTCTGCCATTTTTCAAGAAAACGGCATGGCAAACGTTTCTTCTTGCTGGGTGGAGTAACAACCATTGTGATAGTTTGAACTGTTATGATTCAATTCCATTTTTCATATCCTTTTATAACAATTGTCTCAATGTGCAAACAGCATCCAAGCCTTTACGTTTAATTTGCAAAATTCCTTTGATCAGTTATAATTAAGATAATTATTAACTATGTTCACCTGATTAAAGAATTTTTTTAACTAGTTAACTTGATTATAATATAATTAATCTCAATTAAATGATAAGTAAAAAAATTAAAACAGTTAATTATGTAACTCCCAAGCTGATCCGTATAAATAACAAAGATCAATAAATTATTACCAATTAAGACCCATAAAACTTTGACAAATCATTGAATTTATTGAGGCACGTGTATATGTTTACATAATACTTAGTGTCAAAACAGATCGATAATCCTCAGGTAAATCAACATGACCCGAATATCAGATACTACGATGAATTTGATTGGATAATATCTCTATGTTGTCCTCCATTACCGGAAATCGGTAAGAATAAAATTTTCTCGGGTAGAATTTATGAAAATCAGGTTTTTTGCTTGTTTTAGGAACCCGATATCGGGATTCGGGTTGAGGCATGAAAATCGGGATAATACCGCCAAAATCGGGATAGTTGGCAGGTCTGAAGATATACCAACTTTTATTTTATTTGTGATCTTATTGTTTTTGTTTTTTGTTTTGTTTATGGAAGCAAATTTGTTGTCTTTGTGTTTATGTTAATAAGTTAAAAAGAAAACTTAGTGCAACAATTGCTCTTATTTGTTGGCTTCATTAAGATTTTGTATACTGTTCTCACAAATGTTTAAATTTTGATTCTAATTCCAAAGTAAAAAATAACAATGACCTGTGAGACAGTTATCTTTTCTTGGTACTTAATAATAATTTTAACAATATATTTTCATACTTTCATACCGATACTTATCCGAAGTAGTTTCATTCTATTCATTTTTTCATGCATATATATTTTAACATTTAAACTCTAGATTAACTAATCTACCTTTTCTGCCTCTTCGTATTTCCCTTTATTTGCATACAGAATTCCAAGATTTAAATGAGCCACTGAAATTTAAAAAAAAAATCAAATTAGAGTTATCTCCCATTACCCACTATTTCACACAGATGTCTTGGAATTTTTACAAATTTTGTCTTCTTTTATTTGACATGTAATAAATGCGGCACTGCATGTGAAAATATCAATGCAATTAGCATTAAGGAAATAAATATTCAAAACCATTTTAAATCTTTTTTTAATTCATTACAAACTAAACAATAAAAGTTGCACACAAATTGAAACTATTTATATTGGCTATATGAGTTGGACTATTCTATACAACTTCTCCAGTTTAAATATATTGTTTGTTTGTTTATTGGTGTTTAACATTGCTGTCAGTACCCTTGGCTAAATCATGGATGCCAGTCTTTTTGATGGTGAACTTGAAGGAAGTTGGAGTATTCTGAGAAGACTGTTTTGGCAGGCAATCCTTGTCAGTTAAGATTGGAGTAGAATACAACATGAGTGGGGTTAGAACTAACAACCTTAGAGTTGAGGAGCAAGTGATAACTGTAGATTACTTAGACCACTGGACTGTCAAGCCTCTTTCAAATATTCAAAAAAGAAGATTTGTTATATTGTCTCTCATGACCTGCCTAATGAGGTTTTCTTATTGTATACTTTTGGGTGATATCAATTAAACAGAAAATTGGTGATGTCATAGATTTGCATACAACTTTACCATGTTATTCTTGAACTAAAAATAAAAATATATATCAGTACAACATAAATTCTTCTGCTTGCTGCCTTGTTGGGAAAAGTCATTCAACTGGAATTAAACACAAACTCATAATACACTATTGAATCAAAATTAGATCAATAGCTGCAGGCACAACTTTTAGAGTTTAGAATGACAGAAAGACCGACAATGGTAAAACAATGGGACACAGTAGTGACTGGGTAAAACAATGGGACACAGTAGTGACTGGGTAAAACAATGGGACACAGTAGTGACTGGGTAAAACAATGGGACACAGTAGTGACTGGGTAAAACAATGGGACACAGTAGTGACTGGGTAAAACAATGGGACACAGTAGTGACTGTGTAAAACAATGGGACACAGTAGTGACGGTCATCATAAATAATGTATTCCTCTAGGTTATATTTTTTCTGCTAAGTAAAAAGTGTGTCTATACAATACTTACTAGAAAGCTTAGGTCTATAAGATATAGCTCTTGTATAACTTTCAATAGCCTCATCATATCTTTTAGTATCCTGATAAAGTATCCCCCTGAAAAGCAGATATATAACTTATATAACTTCTAATGAAATGCTGATCTGTACAAAACAGGTGTTTTAAGATTAAAGGAAACCATGTATTGTTGAATAAAAAGATATATAAATACATGAGAGCATATCCTTATACATTCATTGGCCAATCAAATACATGCCAGTGGAGAGAGATGTTCATGGGCAGTTGTCTCACTGGCAATCATACCACATCCCCTCATATTTACATACAAGTTATTTACGTAAATAAAATTGCCTGTCAATAATCAAATTTCTTCAGAAACCTTACATTCCTCTCTTTACAATTTGACATCAAAACAATAATAATCTATCACTTTGTAATCAAGCTATCACCCAAACTATATTGACTGTGTTAGCACCAATGGCTATAGCACATTGAGGACTAACATTTAAGTAAAAACAAAAAGGATTGGCTGTAAATCTAGAGACTAAATTACAATATCTCAAGTCCCTGTAATGGATATAGTCGTAAAATTTAGTCGAAAGATTTACCCAACAGTCTACCATGACTTGACTTACAGGTTATAATGAGTGTCCGCCATATTGCCTCTGTATGTCAGAGCTTTCTTATAGGCATATTCTGCAGATGTAAGTTTTCCTTGTTGATTCCATACATTAGCTAGGTTTGCCCAGGCTGAAAAAAAAGAAATTTGATTGATTGAATATTGAATAGTTAATGTCCAGTGGAAAATATTTCATGTATATTCAGGCCAAGGTATTATTGCCCTACACATAACTTTTTTCACTACCCTCTTATGTGTTTTTAAGTATTTTTTTAAATTATCATCTGACTTGCCAATGGCAAAAGTAGAAAATACCAAACTCAATAAATTCAATGATACATATATCTCCTGACTTAGAGCTCATCAAAACATATCTAGAGCTTAAAGTCTGGAAAGCCAAAGATGTGTAGACACACGGAAGATATTAAACTTGTAGTCAATCAAACTGTGGAATTCCAGTAGATGTATGAATACAAGGAAGTAAGTAAACTTGTTACTCTTTCAGTTGTAAGGCAAAAAAAGATAAACGCCCACAAATGATACCTCCACTTTAAGTATGTTGATGAGTAATTAATGTGAAAACTCATCACAAAGAATTGCTTCCTCAAATGTAGTTTCTGATTTGTAGTTTCTGAGAGAAAATGTAAAGAAGTTTCTTGCATGGCCATTAATTACTTGGAAGAAATTGCATACCGGTATGTTCATTGATATGAGCATTTAATGTGACCTACCAAATTTCTAGAAGCACTGATTTGTGTACAGGTTTATTTCTTAGAAAAATGCAGCAAAAAATTTCTTAAGATAGATGGGTTGAGGTAATCTACCACTTTAGATTAAAAAAAAATCTGTATTTTAAATTCTTAAGCTGGTACTTTCTTCATGTAAGTTTCTGTATGATTACAGTTATAAAAACTGGTGCAAACAACCAGAATGTATACCTGCAGCTAGAAAACTTCCTGTTGTCTTTATCTATTAAATATAGTAACAAAGGGATATCTCCTGCAATGTTGATTTCAGCAGGAAACTGTTGAACCTGGCTGGTTAAACCAAGTATTTTCACTGTTTCTAAGCGTCATAAAATTTTTTTTATATTTTTCTGACATTGACCTAATATTGTATTTAGGTCTGATGCAAGTTATACATTAAATAAATGTTAAGTGTACTTTAGTCAAAATGATTAATGTGAATATATATTTATACATGTAATTTGATGTGTAAAATGTGATACTGATAAGTATATATATCTGTTTAAGATTTGAATGAATTTTCAATCTATCAAGGAGAAAGAGATGCATATCAAAAATTTACAAGTTTTTACATTAAAATATTTGAATATCCCACTTTAACTCTTTAACAATTTTACACAGAGTTGGTTTCCTTTCGTTTTAAAAAAAAATAAATAAATGCTTTATTACTTGAACAGGTATGTATATTTACATTAACTATATCAGATTTATTTTGAATCAATTAAGTAAATTTTGACACAGAAAAAGAAGTTTTATAAAATAATTTGTAACAAAATACACCAAGTACACTGATACATGTAAAATTGCAAAAGGTATGCATGCTGAAAACTTTCAAATCGTGACATTTTAATGTGGTGTCTGATTTATTTGTCTACAATAAAACCATTAGAATAATTATTGTAAACACTTTCAAAATAATGTAAAACTAATCACTTTTAAATTGGGATCAGTTGTCAATTTTTTGCAACAATTCTGCATTTCCTTTCACTATTCTATCTAATTTACACTTTTTGAACATAAAATAATCTTTTCACAAATATGTATCATGGAATAAACAAATAAACTTTTTATTTTATTTTTCAACATATGCAATAAGAGAAATTGAAAGGAACAACAAAAATATTTTTACACTAGCAGTTATCATGCAATTGAACAGTATTTATCTATTCTTAACTGATAAAAACAGTTTTATCTATTCATGGGAGATAACTCTTCATATCTATGTTCATTCACCTGTCAATTTTTAATAAATTTATCTTCTAATTAAACAATTCATGTCATGAGGACTTAAAATTTATTTTGTTTTCATGGAAATTACACCATTTTTAACATTTTGTGGTGTAGGCTGCCAGTGAATTATATATATATATATATATATATAGATACAAGTCTAAATTGAAAACAACGTTCAAACCTATGATTGCGTTGGATAAAAACCACAATTTTTATATGTGTGCATGCAAAACAAATTTTTTGTTAGAGGGGTGTAAATACAGTACAAACAACATTTTCCAAAAGACTAAAAAAGTGAAAAAGTATATTTTAACAAAACGCATTTGACTAACAGGTCGAACAACAAATGTTCTTAAACCCTGCTGACTGCCATTGGCGATTGCCAAATAAACGGATCACCGATGTAATAAATGGATCTTAATATATATAGATATATATTGCTACCAATATGCTGGTCTTAAAATTATCCAAAAATACATTTATTTGTTATTGTAAGTTTGTATATTCTGTAAAAAACTCTTCAGGGTTATGTTCACAGTGGCGTAAGAGGAGGCAGTTGTTAAATTTTTTAATGAAAAATAGCAAATGTAGGTGCAGAAAAGATTATCAGCTCAATTCTAATTAAGCTGGTATGCTCTCCATATATAGTTACATATAATTCTAAATTTCATCAAATTATAAATACTTGTACTAAATTCTGGTTACATGCAATACTTGCTTAATGATTAGATTTTAAATTTTTTATAGGTTATCTCTTGGAGGATGTAGATAATTGTAAAATGGTTTATCTTGCTGCGAGTTATGTTTCATCATATCTATATAAATCATTTATTAAAAATTCTGTTGAAAAAGTTTTTTGCATGCCATAACTATGAGAAAATGTTGAACTGAAATGAACCATCTCCAATATGCTAACATTTCATGGAATTTTTTAGATTCTTATTTTTTTATATTTTGAAATTTAAAAAGTTTAATAAATAAGCACAGGACTTGTCAGAAAGTAAAACTGTCCCACATGCTCTGGGGGTTCATTTTTTTGTTATCGGTAAGTCATTTTGTGTTGCTACAGTTAAATGTGTGATGACTATAGAACTTTTTAAAATGTTAAAGTTTGTTGTCTTCGTTTTTTCCACCAACTGCACAAAAATAACTTACAATCTTTAAACTCTCGATTCTATAGGAATGTGTTATGCAACAAAATTTAAATTGAGCAAAAAGATATTATTAATATCATGGCAACTTTCATTTATAATTTTTTATAATATGTACACATTCCAAATTCAACTTTAATATCTAATCTGATGAGAACTAGCTTGGAAAAGTAAATGATATTTAATGGAGTATTTATTCTATGTAAGTGACAACTCTATCTCAAGTAATTATAAAATTCACTGGTCGCTAAAACACTGGTCAATTTCCCATTTGAAAGATAAAATAACTTGGATGATAAGTTATACAGGTATAGGTTATTGCCCCGTCTACAGACACAAAGAATCAGCATGAATTTTTTTTTTCGTATTTATTTATCATTTGAATTTAATTCTTTGTCTTCAAGATGAAAATTAATGATGAAGGTGAAGCAGCAATATGGTTTTATATAAGACAACTGTAATTTTGCGGATATATATTTTCACGTTTATTCCCTACCCTACTTCCTAATTTTGTTGATGCTTTCATGAAACCGAAGATATTAAAGAAATATTTCTACTCATAAAAGAAGTTAAATAAATACATGATGCTTGCAAAAATTTGTTCTTCTACTGTAACTGTTTGTATTTGAAGCTTCAATATAATAATGTATTCTTAACGTTAAAAAAAATTTCTGTTATCTAGTGTTCCATTTAAAACTAGTATCCCTTCTTCATATTCTGAAATGGATGAGTTAATTACCTTTAGCAGGATTTATTTGAATTCCAGATCTGTACAAGTTTTCCTCGTTGTCCCATACATCATTGCGTAGCACTGTTCGTCCAGACATTAATAAAATTGTTACAGCCACACATACAATCACACATTGTTTCTTCCACACATCACTAAAATATTTTCTGTGTAATAAATAAGCACCATAAGCAACAAATAAACAAAATCCCATACTAGGAATATATAGCACTCGCTCAGCGATCACAAATCCAACGTAGAAAAATATATTTGTTGCTGGAATGAATGGAAATATGAGAATTGATAATGAAATGATTGAAATATCTTGTAAACTATACTTCATTACTGCTATTGTTTCTTCTTCACTGTCCGTTGAACTATTTGAACTCCTTCTCGTTTTATAGGGTTTTGGAATCACATGTTTTGTAGAATGACTATGATGTGCTATACCATTCCCATTTAGATGGGGTGAATATTTCTTTAATCTGGGCCTATGTATATGTTTTAATAAACAAATTGAAAAATATCCTAAAATTGTATAAAATAAAAGAGTTAAAGAATTACGAGCATCTAAAACTTTTTCAACTAAAGGAATGGCTTCCATTGACCAATCGAAACTGAGAACTCTTGGACATAACAAAATCCAGAAGTTATACACAGGAAGTAGAGTAAACGTCAGAAACTTTGTTAGAAAATTATTGGAATCAGCGGCAGGATTGTCTGAAGGAGCAAATTCTGGAGTCTTGTTTCCCATGAACATAAATCTGAATGCTACAAGAGCTGCTCCTAGTATAAAAAGCAGGAATAATCCTTCCATCTCCTTCTTGTAGAGATCCTGCAATGAAATAATATATTTATCATGATCATGATCATTTTTAAGATAGCTTTTCATATTTTTGCAATAATTTATCTGATTTCTGTTTTTCACTTATTCAAATTTAGATGATGGAACTAATGATAAACAGGTACTTAATTTGAATAGTTAGGATTTTTTTTAAGACTATTCCAATGGGTGTTTACATTTTACTGTAACTGTAAACCTTTTTTATTAGAAAAATATGAATAAAAGGAAAATACTGTAAATATTAGTTAAGTCATCTTGGAATTTGTTTTTAGAATTAGAACCTCAAGTCTATACAGAAATGTTGTTCACTAATATTTATTATTATGTTATAACAACTGTGTGCATTACTTATCCATTGAATTACTAAACCCATACTTGTGTAGAAATTTAATATTTCTCAATCAATATAAGAATGTCAATGATATCAGTTTGTGTGCACCAGACTGCATGTCACTCAAAAGATGATATGATGTTTTATTAATTCATCAATTTTTCTGAACATCTGAAACCCAGTGGTAAATATGAATTTTACATGTACATGTAATACTCGTTCAATATATCTAATGATTTCTATTTATTTGAACAATATTTTCAAACAATCTAAAGATAAAAATCAAACATAACAAATTGGATTCCTCTCAGGGCTACGAAACAACATAGAGATCAAGCAAAGAAGGTTGTTTGCTTAGCAAATATTTCATTGTACTTTTTGACAAAACTTTTGAAATAAAGTGTTTTATATCAAACGCCTAGTATGAATTACTTTAACACCTATACAAAGTATTAACTTCATGTCAGCAAATCTCATATTCAGTCACAACTTAAACGCTATAGAGTATTCGATGAACAAGGTATCGTACTATTGAAATAAATCATTTCAATGATGCAGGATTAGGACAAAAATAAAACTAGCGCTGAACACCGATATAGGATACTTTATATGGTTGTACAACCTTTGTGGAGTCTATACCTAACAAATTTGAAATATAATCATCATGTTATGAAAGTGATATATTATAAAAAAAACATCTATTTGTATCTAAACCTCCTGACTCATGTTTGTTTACTCTTTGTGTATTTAAAACCTCTTAAATTTTCCTAACATGTATATTTTTTATATTATAAATTATAACAAATTCAAAGTCAAATCATGCACTAATGTGCGATAATCATTTTTATAAGCTGTACATCGAAACAGTTTTAAAGAAAGATGTAAATCAATATTTAAGCTATTTTTTTCTAAATTTTAAGATTGTATTCAGACTTTGAATTAACTGTAATTCAGATTTGGGATTAGTTTATTTCAATTCAAACATAGAATTATCATTAAAATTCAGAACAATAAGGAAATGTGGAGTATACATGAATGAGACAGCAACCAAACCAAAAGACATCCACATGTAGATGTCAACAGTCTGTCTTCAACAATTGATAAGTGCAACTGTCCAGAAAAATGGTGAGTTTGGACCTTTTCTTCTTTACCTATCATATCTAGAAATACTTTTAATTATATTACATAACTTGGACAAGATATATTAGCTGTTTTTGTCTGCTCTGGTAGTATTAAGGACTAAAGTAATATTTTTAATTGTCTTTTTAAGTGTCATAAAAAGTTGAGTGATCATTTTAAATCTATTAAGGGCAATATAAATATAAAATCACACTACAGATATCATAAAAGTTTAGAAAACAAGATCCATAAAACATTTCAGGGCATCTAATAAACAAGAGGCTCTCAAGAGCCTGAATCGCTCACCTGTATTTCAGAGGAGAAGGTTTTTAAATGTTAGCAAACTTGATGAACAAATTGTGTAAAATTGTCTTTAAAGGGCAATAACTCCTTAAGGGGTCAATTGACAATTTTGGTCATATTAACTTTTTCGTAGATCTTACTTTGCTGAACATTATTGCTGATTACAGTTTATATATATCTATAACAATATTCAAAATAATAACAAAAAACTGCAAAATTTTGTTAAAAATAACCATTCGGTGGCAGCAACCCAACAATGGGTTGTTCGATTTGTCTGATAATTTCAGGGCCGATAGATCTTGACCAATTAAACAATTTTACTCCATGTCACATTTGCCCTAAAAGATTTAGTTTTTGAGATATAAGCCAAAAACTGCATTTGACCCTTATGTTCTATTTTTAGCCATGGCGGACATGTTTGTCAATGGATACAAACTTTGGATATAATTTATAAACTAGATACCCTAAGGAACATTTAGTTAAAGTTTAAAGGTGATTGGCCCAGTAGTTTAAGAGGAGAAGATTTTTAAATGTTAGCAAACTTGATGAACAAATTGTGTAAAATTGTCTTTAAAGGGCAATAACTCCTTAAGGGGTCAATTGACAATTATGGTCATATTAACTTTTTTGTAGATCTTACTTTGCTGAACATTATTGCTGCTTACAGTTTATATATATCTATAATAATATTCAAAATAATAACAAAAAACTGCAAAATTTTGTTAAAACTACCAATTCGGTGACAGCAACCCAACAATGGATTTTACGATTCATCTGAAAATTTCAGAGCTGATAGATCTTGACCAACTGAACAATTTTACCCCCATGTCAGATTTGCTCTAAAAGCTTTAGTTTTTGAGATATAAGCCAAAAACTGCATTTGACCCCTATGTTCTATTTTTAGCCATGGCGGCCATGTTTGTCGATGGATCAAAACTTCGGAAACAATTTATAAACTAGATACTCTAAGGAACATTTAGTTAAAGTTTGAAGGTATGGGCACAGTAGTTTCAGAGGAGAAGATTTTTTAAATAGTTTATGACGACAGACGACGACGATGAAGGACGCCAAGTGATGGCATAAGCTCACATGGGGCCCTTTGGGCCCCGGTGAGCTAAAAAGGGCCAAAACAGAAGAGGCCCAAACTCTCTTTGCAAAAGAATAGCCCAAAACCTCTTTGCTGATTATTGACCCAAACACTCTTTGCTAAAGATTATAGCCAAACTCTCTTTCCTAAATATTAGCCCAAATCCTCTTTGCTAAAGATTATCGCCCAAACTCTCTTTTCTAAATATTAGCCCAAATCCTCTTTGCTAAAGTATGAATTGTACAATAAACCACAGTATAAATATTAAAATCTAAATTAAGTAAGTAAGAAAGTACGTTCATGTTTAACTCAAAGTTGAGAAAAAAATCACAAGAAGACATAGCAATATATAATGAGATTTAAATCAACAATACTTTGATTTCCTATTGATTGCCAACAGAACTTTATTTACTTTTAGACAATAATATCTCTCTTTCAATTCTGTCATATTCAAGTGATGTAATTTATAGGACTTGTTAAGCATGTAATATAAACCCTTCAGTAAATGGTTTTGGGCCTAATTTGTAGTGCTATAAATCATGTCTTTATTTAACAAAATCTTCAAATAATTTCTGCCTTTATTTGTACTAAAATTTTCACCAAGATCAAACGAATTCTACTGTAATGCAAGTGTTAAATGTTTGCATTATAAAAATTCACATTTGTCAAAAGTCTCTTTACAATTTAGTATTTGCGAAGTGTCTGGTTTTAAATTTCAATGTGAAAATGACATTTTTTTAATAAAAAAATTCAGTCTTTGAAGCATGTTTATTTTGTTTTCAAAAACCTGCAAGTGCAAAATGACTTTTGAAAAGGTATGTACATAGAGGAGCTCTGTGCAAAGTTTGCATGATTCACAGTCATTAATTTGGGAGGTCTAAATATTTCTTCCCAATAACAACCATGTTATAGTCAGGAAAATAGAACTCATGATGAATAAGTAATTTTACAAAAAAAAACTAATGATTTGCTGTGAATATATCTATCAAATCTTAAAAGCCTGAAAACTATAAGTATCTCTCAGTCAGTGCAAAAAAAGTTTACAAATAATCCTGTTTCCCTTATACTGGTAAGAATTATTTCTCAAGTCAGCATTTTTTTTTCTTGTAAAAAATTATAAAAGGTAACAATCAACATGATTTATGTTTTAAAAACACAAGTTTGCTGTTTTCTAGTTTTTATATTACTTAATAAAACTTTGAATATTTCAGCAATTTGCATTCTTAAAGTAAAAAATTGCAATTTACATCTACTTTAAGGGAGATAACTCTTGAACACTGATAATAACCATCCATGTGCATGTATATAGAAAAATCTGAGGCATTATGCCATTAATTGTATTTAAATAAAGTCTTATAATTATCTTATATGAGTTATATGTGAGCACTCTAGTCCCATCATCACATCAGAATGTGTACGGTCAAAAACGAGTATAGCAGAAGGTAAATGTAGTATTTACTATGACAAATAATAGTATATTCTAAATTAAAACAGCTGTTTACATTACGTAAAATTAATTACTTTGACTTGAGCAGTTTTTCTTTTTTGGCGTACCAGTAGGTGCGATGTATGCTTGACCCCTAAGTAAATAGTCCACAATATATTATTACACGATTACATATAATAAATTTCTATGATACACTTGAGGTGTTCCTGTGTTTTAACAAGAAACTACAATGAACAATTACGTACAAGTACATAAATTTACTCTGGATTTTTATATGACTACTTACAACCTGGGAGACATAACCAGATTTATAACGTCTTTTTGTCAACAATACAGGTATCACCAAAAGACCATTTCCGTACCTCAACAAGTCAAATTGATACCTGTAGTTATTGAAATATCACGATCGTAAAGTTAAAATCGACATCTGTTCATAACGATGGGAGGAAAGGTTAAGTAACTTGCCTTTGGGAAACTTAGGGGCGGGAACCAAGTGATTAACCACAATCAAAGTATTAAATAAATTTAATGTTTTCTGCATGTTGTTGAATCTAAATTGTGATGATATGGTTGTCCATACAAGGAAATTTATAACTTAAGAATATGACAGAGAATATCTTAACAATCAGCATGATCAAATCAAACAATGTACAAAATGTAATTAAAACAGACATTTTTCAAGTAGGAATTTATTGTTCTACATATGAAACATATGAAGAGGTGCACTGAATCCTTAGCACACAGGATTTTCTCCCTTATAATTTGTTTTTTAATCACAGATTGTGCAAAAATAGATATATTAAAAATAAACCTGATAACCTGGATGATGTGATTTTTAATAATCCCTTGTCCACCCCAAAAACTACTAAAGTCAAAGCCTTAGTTACATGTCTGAATTTGATCATTATTTATTTGGGGTTTTTACTTTGACAAAATTTGATAGAAGTTAAGAATCCTAAATGATCCCATAAACATCACCCAATGTACCAGTCTTTTGCAATTAAACCCACAATAAATGAAAATTCTACAACAATTTTCTTTAAACCTTCCACTTTTTGTCCAGATGCCATGTTTCTTTCTATTTTTTACAATTCAATTTGAAAGATTCAGGTTAAAATAAAAAGAAAGATTTTTACTGTGACGCCATAAATACTTCTTTACATAAATTATGATAATATGTAATTACTCGTGTTAGAAATCTACAGTAATGCAAAAACTAGGTGCAAAATAATTCATAATGCATTATGCAAATCCATCATAAAATGCATAATAGTACTGAATTTTAATAAGCAAGCTTTGTTCTAAACATAGTTTTCTAAAATGGAGTATGAAGAAGTAAAAGATTTTAAAACAATATGTTACACCATGATTGATCATTATCATAAAATGATCAATAATATTTAAATATATATACAAATTCTGTCTGGAATTAACTTAATATTGTCACAAATTTATACAACTAACTTATCAAACATGGACCAGGAAAAATTGAAAATTTTAGAATATGATACCTACAGCAAAAAAAAATCATAAAAATATTAACTTTGATCCCCCAAAAATGCTTTTACTATTTGTATACATTTGATAGAATAAGTCTTTACAGAGTCAAGCAGGTATCTGTTGTAGGTAAAATTAAAATCCTTCAAAGTAGGTCTAGTCATATTCTTATAAGTGGTAATCAATACAGTGCAGCAAACATCTTGCAATCAAAAACTTGTGAAGTTTGCATGCAGAAGGCTTGTGACAAGCATTCTGCAAGTATGCAGTTTGGTTTGGGCCTCCCAAGGCCATCCACCAAATTCTAGGCTGTACCTTATTTATTAATAGTGTAATCTATTCAGATTTAAAAAAATAAAAACATATTTTATTGCAGATATAATAAGTGACAAATTGACACAAGTTATATAACTTAGAGTTTTCCTCTATGTAATAGATATTCTCCTCCAGAAATAACCATTGAACAGAAGCAAACAGCAATCAATCAACCTTACTTTATCAATACAAATTATGTTACAACCGATACAACAGTAACAGATATTAACTGCAAATGCTATTTGCTTAAAATCAGTGCTTGAAAAAGTTAATAAAAGACCAAGGAAATGTTTGACAGTCATTGTCCTCCCAAAGAAATATTATCCTACATGTGTCACATTGTGCCATGCACCGATATGTCCTCCCATATCAATTAGTATAAATTTTAATCAGATTTAACTTTGATTGACAAATCAACCAGTGGAGGTCTGCACACACCCAAATCATACATAAACTGATTAACACAAATAAATACTGCAGACTCAGCTATAGGATTCAGCGTTGCTAAAGTAAGTAAGTAAGTAAGTAAGTTAATTTCATTAAGAGTACTAGAGGATATGAGCAAATAAACATAGTAACATGAGCTCTGCAGAGCTCTTAAACCGACTTGAAATATATATTCTTAAATACTGTTGCATCAGAATGAACAGGCAAGTCAAAATAAAACTAGGTACATATCACACTTGAAGGACCAGTCAGGCTAGACAAAAGCCATCTAAACATGTGATCTGGTGCTACATAAAGGGGAGGTAATCTGATTAATTTTGAATGACATGTTGAGCTGGTATAACAAGAAATATATTGAGTATTATACCAATTATCTGATCAAAATCAAATAAAAAAATCTGCTTAATATAGAAGTTTGTTATATTTAAAAGTTAATTACATGCTTTTTTTGCATTACAGGACATCAAAATACTTATTCTTCTTTCAGATGTCTTAATAACTTTTTATTCTGTTGAATTTAAAAAAAGTTACACACATGATATAAAATAGAATGTTATTATTCATCAAAACCTTTTTTTAACATTATCAAAAGTTACCCATAAGTACCCCTTATAGCCCATGGAGGTTTTTTTTCTGGAGATCAATCATTTAACTTTTTCACCTGTATTTTAAAAACACCTTTAATTAATTTGTCAGACTATCACAAAAATAATTATAGCTGTGGTTATTTTTTAAGGTGAACATTTTTTTCTAATAAAAGCTTGTTAAAATTCAGTTCACAATGTCAATGTCCTACAAAAAAAAAAGATAATTTATGATAGCTAGCAATAAAAAAATGGCTAGGGCAAAACAAAATGACAGCTGTTATTATTTCTACAGGGAGAAACAACAGGTACACAATTTGTTACAAGTTGTGTTGTAGTGTGAAATATATCACAAATGTATTAAATGAGAAATCCTGGTACAGTTCAAGTGGCCTTTCATGCAATTAAAAATTAAGCCAATCTGAAGAAAAAAATGACAATTAAATAAAATTATAAAATTTAAATACTCAATTGCAAAACTTTGCTGAAATTGTAGAACCATTACATCTACTACATATGGATAACTTCATCCCCAAAAAATATGTCAAGCATTTCTCAAAAAAGAGTTTGAAAGCATGCATTCAAATAGGTCTTTACAAGAAGAAACTACATGTACCTACCCATTTCATAGTTAACAAATCTGTAATCTTGACTTTATGTTGTACAAAGAGATCATATGCAGCACACACAGCAATAACTGTAACACCTTGTTCTTTGGTCAACATACTCAATGTAGTACAGATTGCTGTCACTATAAAAAATAAAATCTTCCTTTTATTATCCCCCAGACCTCCACCATCACTGCTATAATTTTCATCTCTATAATGGACATATTTCATATAGCTTAGGAGTGCAAGTAAAAAGAAAAGACAAGCACCAACATCTGCCCTTCCCACAATTCCTGCAACTGCTTCAGTGTGGACTGGGTGTGCAGCAAAAAGTAGACCAGCAATGAGCGTTGGAAATGATTCTTGTAAAACTATCCGAGCAAAATGTGTGAACAATGCTGTCACTACTGCATGAAGAATGATGTTTCCTAGGTGGTATCCAAAAGGCTCCAGTTCTCCAAGGAGATAATTGAGACGAAATGATAGAACACATATTGGTCTGTATGATTTGTGGGAACCACTATGGGTCAAAGGTGTGCCCCAAAAGTCATCATATATTATGTTGATGATTGGTGTATCTGGTAGCAAATCTTGGTTCTTCAGGATGGCACGACTGAAAAGAAATAAAAGATATAATTATTATAATGATACTCACTCTTGAATTTATTACCGGTAATTCATGATTTTTTTCTGTTTTTTCAATTTCAGATCCTTTATAATAACCTTGTTCATCCATGGTGACATTATTATTTTAATATGAAGCAGGTATTTTCTGTGAAAGAGGTCAAAGTCTGAAACATATTCTTGATACTTTTAGTAATCAAATATTAAATTTGTGGGGAAATGTATACTTTAACCTAAAGGCAACCTCCATCAACAGGGTAATATTGTAAAATAATGATTTTTAAGATTCATGAGTATATTAATGATTTTTATATTGATGTTTCTTTTAATTGTTTTATTTACTGTTATTGGGGACTTTTAGTTACCTATTACCCTTGTGTTTTAATAAACCTTTTTCCACATTTATTTTCACTTAAACACAGCAGTAACCAGGGATGAAATTGGTCTCCGACAAAAAAAAAAAAAATGGCTTCCCGGAAGTCAAAATAGGGTAAAAAAGAAAAAAATGACAGAAAAATGAAAAACAGATAATCTCTTTCAATTTCTCTATGGTAATCCAGACAATTTACTAGATTTCAAACTATTTTTTAAGGATACAAGTACTAATCGGTTTTTAGGGATCAATTTAATCTGGTGGGTCCATAAACTACATAGACATTTCTGACAATTTGGAAAATTTAGATAGACTAACTGAAATTATAGTGAATCAAGGACTCAGATAGGATTATAGTTACAAGGATCAAAGACATTATAACCACCTGCTAATAAATTGCCTGATACAATAAATTAAGATCTATATTGATTTCTAAGCCTTTACAACTATATCTATAATTAATACCAAGTTATATGTAATCTTTTTCAGAACTGGACTTCTGATTTATGAAATAAGAAATAAAACCAGAATGATTTTCATCAATCAAAGTGTAATCACTTTCTTGAAATATAAACTGTATACTGCACTTTCAATGCTTTAAACGATTAAAAGATTTGTTTTGACCTTTTGGAAAAAGATACAGTGCATTGATAAATTATATAAATCATGTCATTTGTGGTCTATTTTATAATAAAGCTGAATTATCTAACAGAGTTAAAATTTCAAATAAGGAGACTGAAAAAAACATGAAAAATCGATTTGTCGGCAGCCGAACCTAATTAGTTATTATGGGACAAAACCTGATACTTTGGTTTTGTTTGTTAACAAACATTATATATTTGAATTATACCCTAATTATGTATAATTTTCTGTCTTAAAAAGACTCTTAAAGGGTCAAATATATATTCATTACAGACGGTTTACAAAGGGTGTAAAAAATTACATTCAAATAAACACGAACTTTCTTCTATGACATCTACTGTCCTTGGTGTAAAATTTCAGTTTAAAAAAATAACTATAATGGAGACCAGGGAAATGTTTTGATTGATGAGGACTTTGTATTTAAAATCTAAAACAAGATGGTGACTGTTAATTCAGAAATTACATTATTATTACGATTTTTGATAAAAAAAGAAAGAAGATTAATAATTGTGATTTCGAGAAAATCTGCATACAGATATACGTATCAGATATCAGAATGAGAGTTCTTATTATTGTGATAATAACCAAGTCCCATTATTCGCATTAACAAAAATCTCGCCATAATTTCTGAATTTCCTGTTATAAAAGACACCATTTTTTGTATTCGGAAGCATAATATTTGCTTATTCTTTTAAAATGCTATTGCTTTTATTAACTGCTGAAATGTTCAGATTTATTTTTATCACATTGAAGAATTTGCGATTTCATCTTTTTCTATTTCTATTCACTTATTGCTATTAAAGAAAAAATCAGGAAAAGTGAAAATCTTATCTTTGCTATATTAAAGCTTACAACTCCACATCGGATATTAATATTTCAAGTTAGTTCTGGTATAGACTAAAAAGTGTTCACTAATATGTCTTTAATTTTTTAAAATACAGAACTAAATGATTTTCTTGTCTTTTTTTATATCTTCATAGACTTATAAACATTTTTGAAAGACACACGATTTTACTATTACAGTAATAACAGTAGAACTAATGACATGGTTCCAAAATCTTTAACATATGAAAACGTGAGTTATTTCCCCTCAATTTAACATTTCTTTTTAATTGCACTGCTTCAATTGGTTTTTCATGTTTTGTTTTAGTGATTGCTACTTTCTCTAGATCCCTCTATACTAACTGAGAGACCTCTGACAGTTAGATGACTAATAAGTTGGTCTCCTGCAATTTACTAGCAGTCTTAATAATTTTAGCACAATTTACTAGCAGTCTTAATAATTTTAGCACAATTTTAGAGGTCTGTTAAAACTGGGACCGAATATAACTGCATGGATATTAGGTACCAGGTCAAATTTGAATCAGCTTCTATAAGGCCGTATAAAACTAAATTGCGGAGGATTTTTTTTCTGTTGAATTGGACTAGAGCTTGTGTCAATGCTTCAAAAACCCAGATTGTGTTTCAATGTACAGTACATGGCCTTAAGTATTGGTTGTATACTATTTTCAGCTATATATTTCATATAAAACGTTGTATTTATCCAGAAATTTGCTATATTTTTCAGCCAAATCAAATATAAAAAATTATCACATATGTTCGCATCTGGTGAAAACTACTATGATCAAATTAACGAAAAAATCTTTCAATATTTCTGCATCTTTCAACACCTGGTTCTTCAAGACCTAACCATAAATGCCTTCAAAATACTTTTGGGAAAAAATCTGTTTAATATGAAATATAAGGCAAATAGATTGTAGGTGATAAATACTAATGGCAATGCACTGCAGTTGCTTAAACTTAATTTGTGATAATTTATTTTTTTTAAATCAAAATCTTTTATTTTCCATTTGATGAAAATTTAACCTTAAATATGTCTAGACAATAATTAGTGAGATAAAAACAACAAATAAATACTCATTAAGTATAGAATCATGAACATCAAGTTCAGTTTGTAATGTTTAAGTATACATGTAAATGACATAAAGTGTTCATTTAAGTCTACAACAAGTCAAATTAGGAATTAAGTTTATATACTACAGTAAAGTGCTCTAATGTAATGTTTGTATGTAAGAATAAATATTTAAAATCACAAATATCCAGTTCAACTGAAGGTCGGGAACAAAATGATATATCTTTCAAGTTAAACAAACAGATCAATTAAAAGCAATTCTTTAAGTATGGGTCAACATACATGAACCAAGATCAGGATCGTGGACTATTACATGGGATAAAACACAAATTACAAGAGCACTCCAAAATGATTCTTGAAAGTGAATGTTTGTCATAACATGCATTAACCACTGTCAAAATGATGAAAAGAAAAGCCAATTTACACTACTTATAGGCAAACAAAAAACATTGGTCCGTGTTCTGAAGTAGATGGTACTAGTATAGTAATATAAATCATTTGTACATGGATTTTCCATGAACACTTTCAATCAATCATTTCCTGAATTTCGAGAGTTTTGAACTAAGATTCACTTTTGGTCAGTACATGTGTAAAAGATATTTTTTGTGGCGCAACAGTCTGGTAAAGATTAGACCCACTTTGACTGCAATATGGAAATCCATTGTCGTGGTGTTTTTTTTTCATCATCATCATCTAAAGTCAGACTGTAATTTTTTTTGCATTAACTGCTGAAAATTTGATGACTTTAAAAACAAAGTGCAGAAGTCATCTTCACAAACAAAATACAAAAATCTAATTTATTTGCTGGTTATTAAAAATGCAGCACAAATTAGGATCAATTTAGTTCATTTTTAAAGATTTTTGTAAAAATTTCTTAGATTAATTAGGCAAACCAGCTTTAAAATGACAGTCTTTGTGTCATACAAGTTTGTAAATTACATAATGGTCAATAAAGTTATATAATATTTATGACATTTCAAGATTTAAAATTATCCTTTTCACTACCTGAAAAAGGTGACAAATGGTCAAATTAACTTATTAAATTCAAATTTTGATTCTGAAGTATTGATTGGAATGACTAAGAAATGTGTAATTATTGTATGGTTACTGAATAGTAGTCTGTATCTAAACTTGACGAGACAAATATTTTATGATTTGGTATAATTTGTAATGTTATCGAATGATCTATCAGGTAACTTGTCACTCAATGCATAAAAAACTTTATTCTTAATTTTAAATTTAACATATAATACTGTTCTCCATCGCCAAACAAGTTAGATATTATCTTTAGGACATTTGTGCCGAACAATTTTCTCTCTTATTTGAAGGAGAGATCGCTAAATTAAATCAAGGTTGGTTAATTATCAAATTATTGCTCCCTGCTGACAAATCAAACCTTTTGACAATCCTCCCCATGTGACTTTGTCCTGGTCGGTGAAAAATGATATGACGTAAATAAAATTATCAAAACCAAAAGAAACTTTATGACAACTTCATCCATTTCTATGACAGAAACATATTATGCAACTCATTCTATATGTCACCAGATAAAACAGTTATGATTTATTAACCGTGATTATCTACAAAGAAGATTCTTACCCATTGGTTTAATTCTACTTAATGTACACCAAGAAATAGTTCTTACTCAACACTGCTTCAGTATTTTATTAAATGCATGACAAGACAAACAGATATTGTAGAAAAAAAATAGCATGACAATGTTCTTACATAAATAAAAATAAAATTGAGAATCGAAACTTTTAAGAGACAACAACCTGACAAAAGAGCAGAAAACAACTTAAGGCCACTAATAGGTCTTCAACACAGCGAGAAAATCCCTCACCAAGAGTAGGGCTTCAGCTGGCCCCTAAACAATAATGTATACTAGTTCAGCGAAAATGGATGTCACATTAAACTCTGAAACATACAAATGAACCCGACTTGGGACAGGCGCAAAAATATGGCAGGGTTAAACATGTTTTGTGAGATCTCAACCCTCCCCTTATATCTCTAGCCAATGTGGAATAAACAAACACACAGCAATATGTACAGTAAAATTCAG